ATAGATAGATAGATAGATAGATAGATAGATAGATAGATAGATAGATATAGATAGATAAGCAAGCAAGCTAGTTAGAGAACACCACTAACCTGCTGTTAATGAGGAAGGAGAGAAAGTCTAGAAATTCGAACACAATGAGAATATGCAATGAGATTACAACTCTCCAACCTACTTGTTCAGTCTAAATGACAGAACTATCTCCTCTTGTTCTATGATCCTAAAAGGCCAGGAAATAAGTCTTAACAATTATTTGTACAAAAAGGTCATGCACATCCAAACCTGATACCATGTGTTAGTATTTAGACAGCCTGATTCTGAGTTGCCTAGTAACCTATGATGTCATCATGTGTTGTTGTCCAGGTAGCCACACCTGGCAGGCGTGGTGGTTATGTTGCTCCTTAAAAGGACCAACCCACCACTTTGTCTCTCTCAGCTCTTGCCCTCTCCCTTTTCTCTGTCGGGGTGCCCCGTTCTCTTCCCCCTATCATGTCCTGCTCTCTCCTCTCTCTCTTCATCTCCATCTAATAAACCTCTTTCATATAAAATCTGCCGTGTTCATCATCATTTTATTTGGTCCTAACATTGGTGCTTTTGGCTGAGAAGGGCTCCCCTGGTAGCACCTGGTCTCGTCATGCCAAGACCCTTTTAATCTGACCATAAATGCCTGCAACAGATTTTTTTTGCTCTACCTATCCCTAATAACCACCTATGCTTGAAAACCTTTACTTTCTCTCAACTGTTCTGCCCTTACTGCACACACCTGTCCCACTGCTCACAGCTGCTCGGACTCTGCATCCTGCCAGTACTCCGAGCACCAAGCAACAGGGATATGGCGTACACTCACGCTGCGCCAAAATCAGCTTAGGGGAACCAAAACGCTTCAGACACAGACACAGCCTGCTCTAGGTAAGCAATTACTCGGGACCCTGTGCACACACAGATGGCTTTAAACCACACAGCTGCCTCAGGCCCCACAGGTGAGATTTTAAATCTCCTGCGGAATGTCTACTTCGAGAAGCTGGCTTGCAGAGGAGGGTTTTCAGTTGCACAGACTTCTGATCAGCCATGCCACAAGCACACAGAGAGTTTTGAACGGGGCTGAGACAGCCATCTCATGAGCAAGCACATGGTCTCACTATGCACATGACTAGCCACCATGTTGGTTTTGGAATAAGGACGGTGAAACTATGGCTTCACTGCCATCTCCATTAAGGGCAAGCACATGGTTTCACGGCCATCTTAACTTAAGGCAATTAAGGACAGTCATATGATTGGCTGCCATCTTGGTTATAAAACAAACAAACAAACAAAAAAACCACTGTGGTTTCCCTCACTGCCAGCTGCTTTTATATTTTGTTTCTGTCCCACTGTTTTTGGAGCTGCAAAACTGCAGTCTCTTATAGGTCCTAAAAGGCCACTATGCCCCTTCCTACCTCCATTCTAAAGCTGCCTATCTGCCCCCATCCTTTCCTGCAGATGAGATTCCCTCTACGAGAACTCAGCCTTACTGCTGATAAAGCCCTGGTACCAGGCACTGAGATTCTTGAACTTAGCCAGGTTAAGCCTATGACCTGCCATGCTATGATCCATTTCCATTTCCCCTTTCTCATTCACAGGAATGGCTTCCTCATAGCTCTCCTCTTAGAGAAACTTCTGTCTTCTACACATATATTTGCCCTACTCAAATGTTTAACATCCAGTAACAATATGCGCAATCCGTAAAGCAAAAAACAATTCCCTATTTCTCTTTTCCCAGTTTTATCTGTTTTTTCTCTGCCTGCTATCTCACTAAATATACTCTCTGGTTTCTTTTTATACTCTCAAGAAAAAAATCTTAAACTGCAAACCTTAAGGTGACCACAGGGCGTGAACAATTTTAATCATAATTAATTCTGTTTATTTTATCTCCTCTTAGACTAGGACAGCAACAAGCTTCATTTTAAATTGGTATGGATTTTTATAAAAATTCAAAGTTACATTTTACAATATAAATAATGTCTTTATCAATTCCTAAATTAATAAATGTTTTTCCTGCCATGAGCTGCCTATGATCTAGATTCACCACTAGGCTTTCTGGCTAATAGGTTTGCTATAATAAATTCAAGTGTAATTTTAAAATTGCTTTATACTGTTCTACTATATTGTTGGTTTTCAAACTCATTACTCAGAGGTTACTACGTACAAGTTTTTTACCAATACTCTAAATTAAGATTAATTTTAGAGGCATTTATTTATGTTAAAACTTGGTCATTATGCTACATCTTTACTATCAAAAGGTTAAAATATACTTGGTCTTATTTTCTAAAAAATGGTATTATTAATCTATAGTATAGCCACTTTTTATATTTTATGACTTTTAAGGCTCCAACTTAACAGGGACAAGACATAAAGTCCTAATATTAACAAATGCAAGTTAATAGTCAATCTTCTCATAGATGATCAAGTTCTCTAACATGTCCAAAAAATGTATTTATAGTCCTACAGATGCAAACATGGTCTCACTGCCATCTTTAATAAATAGCTGAGGATGGTCCTTGAATCACCTTACAGGACTTGGTAAAAATAATAAGAGAAGAGCCTTCCCGACAGGCTCATCTACAGCAAAAACTATGCTCCAGACCTTGGCTGCTGCTTTGAGGCTGTTGGCATTCCGCATAAAAAAACAAGAGGTCTACAATGCCCATCCCACCAGGGTATAGCCAAAAGTCAATTCTACCAGGTAACTGTTTCAAATGCAGCCAAAGGAGATGCTGGTCCTGCATCTTCCTCAACAAGCCATGGCTGCCTCCCTGCAGACTGGCCTTAAAATGCTCCCATGGGAGTCAAAATGCTCCCATGCAGGTTTGTTCTCTGTGCCCAGCCATGGAGGCTCAACCAGCAAAAGAGCCACAGACACTTCCAGCCTTCCAGCTCCTTGGCCTGGTGGAAGACAAAAGGCTCCTTGATTCAGGGATCTCCACCACCCCTCACCCAGCCCAGGGTAACATTGCAGGTCTGTTTTAGCTTCACACTGGGGTCCCACGGACATGTTGCCAACTTCTGTCTTGGGAGACTTCAGATGCCTTCTCAGTTCTCTTCATATGCAGGAGGCCAGGCCTTGAGTCTGAATCCTAGAATTCCTATTGTCAGGCCTAGACACAATATGCCTTGTTGCCAGACTCAAGAAACAGGCCGGAATGGAACCTTTTACCATCCCTTTAGCTAAAAGGACAATAAATATTCATAACAGTCTCACCTATGTCTCGTGGTAAATAACTAGATACAGAGGCCTAAGAAAAATGTTTGAAGGTCTAAGAAAATGTTTTAAGGTTGGTAAATGCAAGTTATAAAGATTGCAAGGTCTAAGTTGATTTAAGGTATCCTAAATAGGTAAAAGGCTTTATATTTCCTCCTTTTGCTATGCTATGTTTACTCTCCAGAGCTTTGACCTTTATCAATAGGGTTCTGATGTATTAATCTAACTCTAATACGAAAACATTCCTCTATACCACCCACTGTCATGATTCAAGCGCAAGATTTTAAATCTCCATAATGTGTACTTATACTAAAGGTTAAGATCAAGTGAGCTTTTGTCCCTTCTACTTCATGAAAGGCTTCTGCTTTTTCAGAACTCACCTTAAAGAATGCTTATGCTTTTAACAAAAGCTTATGCTTTTTTACAATGTATATTTCAGAGCAGATTACAATTGTGATGCTAACGTATCTAAAGTTTTATCTCCTTCGTAAAACTTAAATGTAATTCTTGTAAGCTGCAGGAAATCCACCTCTCAGGTCAACTGGGCTCCAGATAAGTACTGCACTTATTGCCTATCTCAGAGGGTGGGATTCCTGTCCTTTCCCTGGTTTTGGGACTTCCCTTTCCTGGCTACTTGATTGCTACATGAAGGGACCAAGAGGCACATGCATGGTGATCTATGCCTTAATTCCTTCACAGTGGCCCAGCTCCTCTGGGTTGAGCCCTCATGAGGACCTCCAACTCATGTTCAAATTTAGTTCTAAAGAACACTGTGTGCCACAGGGGCTAGTGATGCATGCCTTTGATCCCAGCACTTGGGAGTCAGAGGCAGGTTGATGTTTGTGGATTTGAGGCCAGTCTGTTCTACAGACAGAGTTCCAGGACAGCCAGGGCTATTGTACAGAGAAGTGCCATCTCCAAAACCAAACAACAAAAGAACACCTTGTGACCCAGAGGTGAATTTCTAACTCCCTAACAAATTAAAGTATTTCATATTAAAGAAGGCTAATTTTCTATCAAACTTTGTATTTGTCCATCTTTAAGAAGTAGTAATACAAATAATCTAAATCTACATCAGACGATCCTCAATGTTTTTTAAATGAAACTGTTGATATTTTACTGAAGCACATGAACTAAAAATATATTTAAGTTGCAGGCAATTAATGTCCCAATTTAAAAATGGGGTACAGAACTAAACAGAGAAGGTGGGAAGGAATCAGTCTTCCCTAGGGATGAAAAAACTGGCTATCCAATACCATGGTCAACCTTAAAAACATACATATGAGCAACAGTAAATGGATTCATCAGATTGTGTTTGTATATTTCTATATACCTACACATGTAACAAAAATTAAAGAAATCTTTTTAAAGATTTAAGAGGTAATGCTCTCAAAAGCCACACAATGGCAAAGTTACTTATAGCCCCTACCTCTGTCTGGCCTGGCCTCAAACACTATTGTAGCCCAGGCAGGCCTTGCACTTGGATCCTACTGCCTCAACCTCTCAAGCAGCTAATACTACAGGTCTATGTCACCGTGCCCAGCTAATCAAACATTGCTTTTCACTCCAATTCTTTTATATGCATCCACCCTTTATTCTCTAAAACTATAATGATGAGAGTAGAAAGTTCTCAAGAAACAGTGATATCGGGTTTAAGTTTTCAGAGACACCACATTAGTTATTCCTTCTAGCTTTGTGTCATCTATACATACAGGAGGCATGCACTTAAATTTCCATCTAAATTACCAACGAAAAACATAATCTTAAAAAAACAAACAAACTTGTCAAGTGCTGTAGAAGGCTAATGTTCTTCCACGTTTGGCCAGCGATCTGCTTAGTAGTCTGTGGACAAAAATTTCAAAATAGATCAAAATGTGAACTGTATTGCAGGAATAAAAACTGTGAGCTCATTAATAAAACTGGATTAGCATAGTAGGTTAACTAAAATTACTGTGTCTGTGTTAAATTAGTTCCTGTTTAAGGTAAAGGTAGGGTTAAATAATTATAGATCTGTGCAGCTCCCTCTTGAATGCTTTAGGAATGTGTTGGTGAAGGGTAAGAAAAAAATACAAAACCGAGCTTACAAATGTCATGAACAGTTAAACTCAGGTAAAGGGTATAAAAGTGATACATGTATCACTCTCATTCTTAGAACTTTTCTACTAATTTATATTTTCCAAATTAAAAAAAATTAAAAATTACATATCTTCTCTAACTTGTTTGAAAATCCAATTTTGTAACATTAAGACCAAGAAATGCCTACTACTTTCAGCTGGTTTTCTAGTCCGTATAGTTTGTACAAAAATGATAACAGTATTGACATCTGACAACATTTATAGCATTGAGAGTTTCCTGTAGAAAGACCATACTTCCCAGCGTCCTTTGCAGGCTGGCAAGACAACCCCAGAAAGGAAGGAACTTAGTATATATGTGGTAGTCATTTCCTTCCCCTAAAAAGATGGGAGCCACCTTTTCCATGGGCATCCTCTCATCTGTCTGCATTGTGTGAGACAAGGGGCACAACCTCCAAAACACCACACAGCATAGCAAAACGCCAGGACAAGGTAATCTGTTAGAGTTAACTTGGAGGGGCCAGGTTTGATCTGGCATTCACAGGATCCCCATTATCTTTGGGATCCCCCTATCAGTCAAACATTCCAAAAGCCTCACTGACTAAGGCTGGCTGAGAATTCCTGAAATTCTCCACTGGCCCAGTGGCCTCTTTGAATCTTGGATGACAGGAGTAGAAGACGCACCATGTATTTTTATGGGACATATGGCCCAACCATTCACATGGGTGAGATCATGGCCCCTCACCATAGATCCACCAAAAAACACAGTTCTGCCTAAGGTCAGATGCACTTCTCTTTCTGCCTTTCTGTCTCTTTAAAATGCCTAAGAAACCTAACAATTACTGCCAGGTAATTATTTCAAATGTCTGACAGGCCTAAATGGCAGCTAGATACTTTAAGAGACATTACATATACATGCATTCTCGAGCTTATCATACCTAACAAATACCAGTTCTTTACAGATGAGCCTCCTGAGTCACTTCCCAGGAACTGAGATGGAACGAGAGTTTCCAAGGTCTCACAAGGCAAATATGCCAGTGTATACTGAGGAGAGAATGTCTCTTTCCTGCTTTCCAGGTCTCCAACTACAATTTTCCTCCTTCTCAAAGCTTTGCTGATAGGAAAGATCCAAGCGTCCTGCGCACTGGCAGCAAGAGCACCGTAGGAAATGCAGAACTGAAGCCCTACCCCACAAATTTTAAATCCAAATCTACATTTCAAGAAAATCTTCTGGATTCACGAAACCTAAAACCAGCTTAGATTTAGCTTGAAGGTGAATTGGGTTAGATTTTACTGCATTTGTATCTTTCTCATGTAAACAGAGGGCCCAGCCAGAGGAAACAAAAGAGAAACAGGAGAGAAGAGGTTACTCTTTCAAGGAGGGGCTGGAAATCCAGCAAGAGGGAAGGTGCGTAAGGTAAGTCACCTAAATACATGCATCTAATTGGCAAAATTCACTGTAAAACAGGACATGAAAACCCCTACTTTGTAATTGTTTTAAATTATGTTTATTTCAATTAGCTCCAGGTAAATACTTCGATAAACGTTCCACAGCATCCTGTATAAACACTCAAGATATTGAAATTTTTCTTTTAAAAATCAAACAGACTTCAGGGGATATTTGCTAGATTAAATAAAACAGGAATCTTTAGAGTATGCTTATCAGGTAGCAAGGTAGATACACCAATAATGTTTCTGTAATCAGAATAGCTACCTGGTGTTCTAATTAATAAAAAAAATGTACAACTTTCTATTTCATATATTTAATCTGAAACTTGAAAAATGCAAATAATCCTGTACCTTCAGTTTATTCAATTTCCAGCAAAACTTACTTATCCATTTCTAAGTTAGAAATAACAAAGCTTTCCGGTACATCTAAGGCAAACTCTAGAGACGTGTACTGAGCACATGTCTAGAGACATGTGTGTACTGAGCACACACAGACTGTGTTCCCTTTCCAGTTGTTTTAGGAGAAAGATTTGAAGATAATGAAGTTGATTTTCAAACTCAGGACGTATGGAAGTGTCTATTTAACATCAAAGTGGACCTGGCCTCCCGGTTCTCCCAGCATCCTTCAGTCCCCATTTGCTACAGGGTATGGCTGGCAAACCCCGCCCAGGGGCTATTCAATATATAATCTAGACATTTTGGTTACCAGCCCCCTTTCTGTACCTTTGGCCTCCTGGCTGCTGTACCTGGTTCCCACTCCCCTACTCTCCTCACAAGGCTCAGGGTCATGACCAATCTGGACTCTCCCAGATGCTTCTGCCTCTGGCTATGCTCTTCCTTTTATCTACAATGAACTTTCTCCTCCACTATGCCTAGGAGCCCCGTCCCTCTCCTCCCTTCCCTTTTTCTGTTTCATTCAAAGAATACATATCAAATAGATAAACAAAAAGAAAAGGATAAATTAAATTGCAAAATCTCAGCAAATCATTGAGGAAGAAAATTGCAGTTGGGAGACCTAGAGAGCAGGAAGGAGACATTCTCTCAGTATACACAGGCAGGTTTGCCTCGTGAGAGCATGGAAAGTGGTTCTATCTCAGCTCTCAGGGAAGTGCTTCAGGAGGCTTGTCTTAAGAATTGGTATTTGTTATGTAAAATAAGCTCTAAAATGCATGTAGATGTCTCTTAAAAAATCCAGTTGCCATGTAGGTCTGTCAGACATTTTGAAATAATTACCTGGTAATAACTGTCAAATTTCTTAGACGTCTTAAAGAGTCAGAAAGGCAGAAAGAGGGGTGCATATAAAAGCAATAATTAGGGGCTGGAGAAATGGCTCAGTGGTTAAGAGCACTGTCTGCTCTTCCAGAGGTCCTGAGTTCAATTCCCAGCAACCACATCGTGGCTCACAACCATCTACACCCTCTACTGCCCTCTTACAGCACTAATATGCATAAAGTAAATAAATAAATAAAATCTTAAAAAAAAGCATTAGTTAAATAAGCAACTACTTGGGCAAGTTAGATTTAGGTAAAAAAGGAATGCTGCTAAAGTAGTTGGAAGCTTAGCTCTAGGGCTTTCCAATCTACAGGCTCTCTTTACAATGATCTCAAATACTTCTCCTGTCTCATCATTAGATTTGTTTTTGTTTCTTTTTTTAAATTCATAACACTAATGCTTCCAATGTCTATGAAATTTAAGAACATATGAATTGGGGCTCAGCAGTTAAGAACACTGGCTGTTCTTTTAAACATCCTGAGTTCAATTCCCAGCAACCACATGGAGGCTCATAACCATCGGCAACGAGATTTGGGGCCCTCTGGCTGGCTCACATGCAGAGAATACTGTATAAATAATAAGTAAATAAATCTTAAAAAAGAGCATATGAAATAGTCCTCTTTAATCAAAAAATAATATAAAACTTACATCTTTCAGTTGCATTTCCTTTTCATGAATACTGTTCATTGATGAGTTGAAGCAGTTTGCAGGCATGCTCTGTAAATAAGCCAATATTAGTTAACATCATCAACTTAACAAAAGTTTCATTGTATTTAGTTCCACAAAAATACAAAATATTTTTCAAGACATCCCAAACACACCTACTGGTGAGAATTGCCAGGAGGCTACTGCCAGAACTAAATTTCTAAGAGGGTCCTAAGCCAGTGGTTCTCAGCCTGTGGGTCTCGACCCCCTGGCAACCCTCTATCTTCAAAAAATATTTACACTGCAATTCGTGACAGTAGCAACATTACAGTTCGTAGCAACAGAATAATCTGATGGTTGGGGGTCACAACATTAGGAAGGTAGAGACGCACTGCCCTAGGTGATCTGGACTTCAGATCTAATTTTACTCTGATCCCACAATCCCCAGAACCTTCGGTGCATACAAATACCCCACTGAGTTTTCACCAGGAGTCAAACAGCGAGGCTATTTCAAAGAAATGAACAAAACTGCCAAAGATAGAAACTATTTTCTAGAATTATATTTTATATCAGTATAGGTTAATTATTCCTAAACTAAAAATACCAGAAACGAAGTGTAGACTTTTTGGAGTTTGGAATGTTTAGATACATAATGAGATATAATTGGGATGGGACTTAACAGTAAATGTGAAATCCATTATTTTTCCCAAGACAGGGTCTCTGTGTAGCCCTAGCTGTCCTAGAACTCACTCTGTAGACCAGGCTAGCCTGAAACTCAAGAGATCTACCTGCCTCTGCCTCCTGAGTGCTGGATGCACCTCAACCGCCTAGCCATTTGTTTCATATACACAATTTTATATAAAATATATAAAACCTTGAAGATAATTTTATATAAGACGTTCAATGTACCTAGATTCTTGCTGTGACGGATGTGTGAGGTCAGGTGTGAAATTTTCCATTTGTTAACATCCAAAAAGTTCCAGATTTGGGAGACTATAATAATATTAATTAGTAACGCATGATATAAATATTCACAGAACTCAAAAAAACATAATTTCATAATAGTTTTCATTTCTTCATTCTTCCATAGAGAAAATGAGAAAAACCAGTTGGCTATAATTTCAGACTAGCCAGAAAACTCTGAAAAATCCTGCTTTTCAGGGTTTGGAGTTGGCAATTGGAGTTGTTCCTAAGCACCCATGAGGGAAGTCTCGTGTAGACACAGGGACTATTTGGGAAGGCTACAGAACCTGTAGGGATGGAGTCTTGCTACAGAAAGTGGATCGCTGGAGTCAGGCCTTGAAGCTCTTTAGGCAGGGCTCCACTTGCTCTCCCTTTGCTTCCTGAGTGCTAAAGCCCAAGCAAGCATCTGGCCATGTCCTTCCCGCCATGATGGAATGATCCCCTTAGACTAGAAGCCAGAACAAACCCTTCCTCCCTTAAACTGCTTTCCTCGGAGTACTCAATACAGCGTCATGCCACTGAGAAACTACAACATGCATTCTGCTATGGATGGTGTTACTAGTTGTCAGTAATATTCAAATGTCAAAGACAGGCTTTCTGGAAGGCAATTTGCAATCATTATCATATGTGACCATCAGTGCTTTAACCCCAGTTTTACTGATGTGAAATTAAGGCTTATAGAAAAAGATTGGCAAACTCTAGCATTGTCTCTTAGGCCAGAGAGGCTAAGGGATTTGCTCAGTTACATGATATCAGGTGGCAAAACCAAGATTTAGACTCAAGATTTTCACACAGATCCTTGTTCTTTGAGACATTGCTCCTCTCAAACAAGTGGGAGAGAAAATGTGCAGTTAGAAAAAATATAGTCATTAAAATTGTTTATCCCAAATATGAAAACTAACAAAAAACTTAAACCTACTATTTATATAATACAAACTATTGAAATAAAACCTGAAATTACATAAATCTTAGCAAAATCTTGACTCCTATAGTTACAGCATGAACTGTCTTCTGAATATTCATCTGGGTGAAACAATTCTGTGGGCAGTGCAGGGAACCATATTAATTATTTTATGGAAGAGGGACAAACTAAAAAAACAAAAAAGAAGATGAAAGATCTGTAGGTGCACTAAGGTGTTACATTATTTCACAAACATTAAAAAACTCATTCTTCATAGTAATTATACATTGTTTCAAATAGGAAAAACCTCTAAGCTGAAAGCCTTAGTACCTGTGACAGATGGAGTGTACTGGCTTTGTTTTCAAGTTCAGACAGCCTTTTTGTCATGGCAGACAGCTGCTTTTTTAGGACATCTGTCTCTTTGGATAAGGACTCCAGCAGCTGCTGCTTCTTCTCACATTCCTTTGTTTTATCTTCCAGCTGTTCAAGCAATGAAGAAGAGCTATATCTTGCCTTTAGCTGGTTTTTGAGTCTCTGTATTTCTTTTTCCTTCTCTGAGAGGTAATAAGCATTCTTCTCTCTCTCAGCTTCCAGCACTTGAATTTTCTAGATAGAAACTAAGAAGAATCTTAGAACTAAGCCAAGGTTAAGCATTCAGCTAGACAATATATTGCAACAAGCCTTAATGAAGTATTTACTAGAGATGAAATTTTATTTTATGTTATCAGGAACAAAAATATAAGATGAAGCTCAGTTCACTAAGATGATGCTCAATTCACTAATGCCATTTGTGCTCTAGTTAACATGTACACACAATGAATAGGCAGACAGAGATACAGAGAGGAAAAATCATCTATATTAAGGGTGGTAGAGAGAGGCTAAATCAATGCTTGTCACATCGCTGTGGCAAAGAGGAAGGAGCCATGAGAAAGACGATAAGAACAACTGCCAATGGGGCAGCCAATATGAATGATAAAATGGGTTTCCAAACAGTTACAAGGCAATCTGAACACTATTTAACACTTTGAAATGGATATTTAAGGTATTATAAATGCACTAACCAAAAAAAGTAAAATAACATCATTTAATATTTGAATAAAAATTTTTTCAACTATAGTTTTCAACTATTTTTTAAATATAGTTTTCAACTATATTTTTTCAACTATTTTTAAAAACAAAAAATAGAATAGCACAGTATCCTTCTAGTGTCCCAAAAGGCATGGAAACAGACCCTTCCAAGTTATATGGCCAATAAAAATTATAAATAGTAAGGCAGTATGTTTTACAGTCTTAAACACTGTATGGTGTGGTTTGATATGATCCTCAAATTTATTTAACCCTCAGTATAACAATGTTAGAGGTGATGGGGTTATGAGGGCACAGGCCTCATTAGTGAATTCATGTGGTTGTCATAGGTCACTTATCAGTAAAAATGAATTCAGCCCTTGGCTCCCATATACCTCATATGCTTGCTTGGCCTTCTTTCATGTGATGACACAGCTTGAAGACCCTTAACAGGTGCACTGTGCTTTTGAACTTCACAACTAAATCAATCTCTCTTCTCTCCCTCCTTCTCCTCTCTGGCTGTCTGCCTCTGTCTGTCTATCTGTATCTTTCACTCAAATCACTCAGTCTGTAGCACTGTGTTTTAACAACACAAAAAAAACTGATGTTATATAGGAAATTTTCATCAATAACGTTGATGTAATTAAGATGAATTGGGCTGGAAAGAAGGAAGGGCTCAGTGGTTAAGAGCACTGGCTGTTCTTCCAGAGGATTCGGATATTTAATTCCCAGAACCCAAATGGCAGCATACAACTCTCTGTAATTCCAGTCCAGACATGCAGGCAAAACACCAATGCACATAAAATAATTAATTAATCAATTAATTAAAAAAGAATTATCAAAAAGTTACATGACAAATGCCAAATTAGTTTATTGATTTGTTTTCAATACTTGGAAAAACATGGTAAATGTTACAACACAAACCTAGAATCATAGCACCTGAAGGTGGAGGCAGGTGAACTAGAAGTTTAAGGTCATCCTCAGCGTAATAGCTCAGGCTCCAGACCAATCCATGCTACTTGAGACCATACGTGAAAAAGTGAAACAAACAACAAATGTGAGGGTCTGGGTGTGGAGAGTTGTCTCAGCCTTTACAGAGGAACGGTATTTAGTTCCTAGCACCCACATGGTAGCTAATAACCATTTGAACTCCAGTTCCAGGGAATGCAGACATACATGCAGGCACAACATTCATACACATAAAATATATCTTTTAAAGTGAGGGGGAAATATATATCATAAAATTATAGGTACAAAACTATTAATCACAATGTCTATATTTCTGAAACAGCTTAATATCTGATAACCTCAAAACACATATTTAATTACATTTTAGAAAAGAATTAGTGCCAGGCATAGTGGTACATGCCTTTAATCCTAGCATTCAGAAGCCAGAGGCAGGTGGATTGCTGCGAGTTTGAGGCCAGCCTGATCTGCAAAGCGAGTCCAGGAGAGCCAAGTATACACAGAGAAAACCCTATCTGGAAAAGGAATATACTAAAAGAGAGAGATAGACACAAAGACAGAGAGATGGAGAAAGAGAGAAAATTAGTAATAACTAAAGTATGTGTGAAGGTTAGTAAAATCAAAGTAGGAATTTAAGATTCTAAATTAAAAATCAACTTTGTAAAACTAAAATGAACAGGTCACACAAGGACAATGGGAAGAATAAGAATGCAGCATCTTAGCCAAACTGGGCAGAGTGCAGGGAGTCTTATGGAAGAAGAGAAGGGTGGGGATAGAGGGACATGGAGGGGACAGGAGCCCCACAAGGAGATCAACAAACCTAAAGGATCTGAGCCCAGGGGGTCCTGCAGAGACTGATGCACCATCAGAGGACCATACATGGAGAGGACCTAGAGCCCCAACTCAGATGTGGCCAACTGGCAGCTCAGTCTCCATGTGGATCTCCAAGGGAGGGGCTGTCTCTATCATGAACTCAGTTGCCTGCTCTTTGATTACTCACCCCTGGTGATGCAGCCTTGGCAGGCTACAGAGGAAGAGGATCTAGGAAGTCCAGATGAGAGTTAACAAGCTATGGGCAGATGGCAATGGCGGAGAACTCCCCTTTCCAGTGGACTAGGGAAAGGGACGGATGGAGGGAAGAAAGCGGGAGGGTGGGGCTGAGGGGAGTTGAGGGAAGGGGCCTCAATTGGGATATATAATGAATAAATTGTGAAGAAAAAAATTAAAATTAAAATAAAAAAAATAAGAATGTAGCATCAGAAAGCCAAACACACTGCTTTCTAGAATGTGTATACTCTACAGGATTCAACAACCATTTACCTCCAAGAGTCTGCATCTGTCTTTATCACTCAGTTTTCCTTTCCCACTGGTGATTTCATCCAGGGATGTTTTAAAGGCTGCAGTTTCTCCCTTAAATTTTTCTAATGCATTGTCCGATTTGGAGCTGCTAGGCCTTGATCCCCATTTGCTTTTAATTAAATCTTTGGGACTTCTGGAAGACATCTTTGAAATGATCTGTGAAAAATAAACAATTTTACATTCAACTGCATTTTAAGTCAGTTTTGGAAGAGGCCTTATAACCTATTTTGCTCTAAAAAAGAAGTCATTTATCCAATCAGTGGGGTCCAGAAAGAAAAATGAGCAAGATTTCTAGGGTGTTGTAATGAAAAAAAAAAAAAAAAAAAAATCTTAGGTTGTGGATACAAGGGAAATATCCACCTTCTAGAAATAAGACAACTTTAATACTCTTATTTGCTGTTGTAGCCCAGACTAGTCTGGAACCAGACTAGTAAGTAGGATGGCAGTGAACTCACAATCCTCCTGCTTCAGCCGTAGGAATGAGGGTTACAGGTGCATACCACTATGCCTAGCCATGTTCTGTAAATTAACAGAAAGGTTTTGTTTACAGTCAATGGAAGGGTCCCCAAGCCTTACACTCTCAAGGAGATATTATACCTAAGAATAAAAGCTGGTGATAATCTACTTCTGAGTTTATGGGCATTAAAAGGTCACTCAACATGTTTTAGAAGGTATGTCTAGTTGAACTCTTAATAGCCTTTTGGGAGAAGAAGTGAGGAAATCTAACATGGGACATTTATTAAAAAAAAAAAAAAAAGGCTTGGAGATAAAGGAATTAAGGGGCCCATTGAAGTGAGGACAAGTCTCATATCTGCGAATAATAATAAACGACAGATTAGAAACAAATGTATAATACAACTCTACCAGGCAAATGTGTAGTAAAATATACTGTACATACAAATAGTATATAAAATAGCTCTCCATTAGGGAGGTTAAAGAAACAAACATTTTTCTACCTTGTCTGTCCTGACATAAAACATATCCTCTGATGCTAGAAAGCTAGAAAGCTCAGTACAGTGAGGCCGGCAACAACAATACAACAAAAGAAACCGAGACTCACATATTCTCAAACTGTAATAAACACTAAGAGGAAATAACCCGAGTCCTAAAGGCTACCAGGGAGATCTGCTTAGGGTGATCTCCTTACTTTTTAATTTCGCACAAATAACCTACGAGGGGCCAGGAAAGAGACGGGGAAATAAAAACTGCAAAGAGAAGCGCTTGCTAATAGCAAAGGCAGAACGCACGAGAGACCGTAGAGACCTGGGTCAGGTCACTGGCCTCTCGATACCTGTTCGTTAAGGAAGTGAGAATGCCGCAAAGTTGAAAGGCATCCACCGGGTGACCGGCCGACGTCGACAAGCACCCAGGGTGTTGTCTGTCAGGAAACGAGCATGGATTCCAGCGAGCCGAGACGGAGTCCTGCGGCCGGGATCTGCTCATCAACGGCGCCTCTCCTGCAGGCCAGTCCGGCCCTGGGGCTGCGGGCCCCGCCTGTCCTCCCCACCCTCCCCGGCCAAGGCCAGGGCCACTCAGTACCTGAGAAAAACACAGCGCTGCGTCAGACCCCCTGCAGCTATCCAGGCCGAGACACCGCTTCCGGGAGTTTGAATCCCGCGGCTGCAGGGCGGGACGCGTCACTGCCGGCTGGGAGAAGGGCGGGGCCTGCAATCTGTGGCGGGAGAGGGCGGGGCCTGCAATCTGAGGCGGGAGAGGGCGGGGCCTGCAATCTGAGCGAGGGCGAGGCGGGGCCGGAGGATGGAGGAGAGAAAGGGCCCAGGAAGGTGAGGGCGGGGCCGAGGCGGGGCCTGGGACCTGGTGGGCGGGGCCTGGAGCCTGGCGATAGGCGGAGCGAAGGCGGGCTCTGGAATCTGAGGGCAGGCGGGGCGGGAGCGGGTCTTGAAATTAGCGGGCCCTCAGGCTAAGGGCAGAGCCGGAAGTTTAAAGGGCTTTTCGGGGTGCAGAGCCTGATGGGGGTTAGAACCCGTCCCGGACTCCGAGGAGGATCGTGTGTTGGGGTGGAGGATGTGTAGAGCCGGGGGGTGGGGGAATGAGGGTGTGTGAGCATGAAGTGTGGGGGCTGTTGGGTCCTGTGGGTGTAATCGCAAACAGGACCAAGAACAGATTCGGACGCCTGGTAAAATCTGGGCCTGCTTACTTTTCTCTGTGGTTTCGGACACTGCTGTTCTACATAGGACAAGCTCTGTGACCACGTCTGTGCTCAGTTTCTCTCTATGTAAGATGGGGCCGCTCCATCTCCTCGATAACTGACACGGCCGCCTCGTCTTCCCGTTGGACCACATTTTTTTACCCTGCCAAAGTCACGGGCGGAGCGATGAGGAGCGCCGCTGCGGAGAGCTGATAAACTCCCAGTTTGGAAACTGAGATTGTGAACCCCTGCGGCGATTCCAGATTGCTGCCTTTACAGGCTGCTTTGTCGTTATCGGTCAAATCTGGGTCTTGGTTAGCTTCCTTGAGAACTTTGTTGCTTGCTAGGGCGTGTCTTTCTTAGACCTAGTCTTAGCGTGCTAGAAATTTACAACGAAAAAATATTCAATAGCATCCTAGGAGAGTTGTGTTCGTAGTACAAGGGTTAAACTCCTGAATGCCTCTTGTTAGCTGTGTGACCTTGAGTACAACATTTAACCTCTCTGAACCCGATCTTTACGAGGATGTAGCTGAATGTTGAATGATAGAGTGAGTGGGAAGTGCTTAAGGTTTAACAAATGTAGATAGGCACTGTTAAATAAAAGGCAACGAACCCATGTGCTACTGAATCAAGTGAATAAGAAACCCTGTAAGGAAGTTTAGATTTTTTTTTTTTATTTTTTAAAGCAGGAAGATGGCAATCCAAGAAACCCAAATATTCTAATCACACAGAGTTCTGCTTCCTCCTGCCTGAAGTTTGTAAATGGATAGGGAGGCAGAGTGGTGGAGAAAGGGATAGCCTTATTCACCACAAGGTGGCATGCTGGAAGGTGGCAAGCAGGCTTTTGCCTTTCCGTGGGCATCTTGCCTTTTGCCTTGTTTTTCAAGGGAAGGTGTGTGGGCTCCAAATAGCTAGAGCGCTTGGTGACCAGTGTTCCAAAGAGCAACCTGTTCTGGTGTGCTAACAGTGCATATCTTACCTTCTTTACGTGGGACCGTGAGGAGTTCGGTTCAGTACTTCTGTTTTGATTATATTGCTGTGGCCAGCTTTTTTGGCAAGCACCCTCTCTGGCAAGTTGACCTCTCATCACTTGGGACAAGAGAGGGCTCAGGAAGGGAAGGATCTGTGTTTCTAGCTAACTTAAGTGAGCAGGCCATCTACAAAAGGTAGATTTCAATGGGCAGCTAATTCTGGAGAGTGCTGGATGGAGCAAGCAGAAACAAGGGTATTCTGTATGCTATGCGTTTATTTTCAGGGAACAGCTCTGGGTTTTTCATATTTGTGTTCAAATTGTCTTGTGGGAGGGATTAGGGGTAGGAGAAGGTTTGTGAGAATGAAATCAGGATGTGAATATTCCCTCTCCAGACTCCAGATAAGAGGCAACCTTAGAATCAAGCAGGGGAATCACGCACATGCACACACACGCATGCATGCATGTGCGTGAGTGATGGGGAAAGAGAGAGCTATCTTTAAAGCCAAATGGAAGTAGAGAATAGAGGAGGAGTAGGGAAGGGATGATGGGGAGAGAGTAACACACCCTGTGGACTGACATTTGGTACTAGGCCACTGACCAAACACTGCAATTCTACCCTCCATGACCTTGATTCTGTTGGGAACTGCCCTATGAATAGGGACTAGTGAGAGAGGAGCAGACAGGAGGCTCATTGGGAGGCTTGGTTGATTTTGTAAAGGCCCCTGTTGGATCTTGGACATCAAACATTGGACATCAATGTTTGTTCTTTAAAGACAGGCGCAGCCAGTCAGGAAGCTTTAAGCAGCTGGCTGTTTCCGTAACATCTCAAGGTGATCACATTTCACCAGGTGATGTTGACAGTTCGTTCAGGGGTATTCTAGGGTAAGGATTTAGAACTCATCTTTATTCATGTAAGGAGAAAAAAAATGGGACAGGCAGCAGAGTAAGTCTTTATCTCAGCAGGAAAGCCTATTTTCTTCCCAGCAGGAAAATGTTTTTAGGAAACAAACAGTGCCAAAGGCTTCAGACTTACTAATTGGAAACCAGGAGGCTGTTGTGATTTGAAGGATTGTATCTTCCAAAGAACTGCTGCCTGCTGACAGACCTGCACATCTCAACAGAACATTCTGCCACAAGAGAGAGCTTCCCATCCTCTGTCCAGTATGGCAGCACTGACCATATCTGGCTGATGACTGCTTGAAACATGGTTGTCGTGAGTGAGAAACTGAGTTTCAGATTCTACTTAATCTTGTTTTGGAACTGACAATTCCATTACTGGAAAAAAAAACAAAATTAAGTATGTTTGAAAAACGTGGGTATGAGAACTAGTGAGATGGCTCAGTGGGTAAAGGCTCAGGCCACCGAATCTGACAACCTGAGTTTGATCCTCAGAATCTACTACGTAGTGGAAGGAGAGAATGGACTCCATAAGTTGTCCTCTGAACGCACACACAGACACACACACACAAATGTGAGTTGTAAATCTCATAAAATATAAATATAGGTCAAATACTTCTGATGAAAACTTTGTGTACAAGTTGAGATCTGATATACGTAGCAGATTTTAAAGACTTAGTATAAAAAGAATATAAAAATTGTGTTAATACTTGTTTGTAGTCTTACATATTTAAAAACATAATATTCCAGATTGACTAGTTAAAATAAAACTTTGAAATCAATCTTACCTATTGTGTTTAGTTTTTCGTGAGACTCCGTGTTATATTTCTACAGGACAGTGCTGGTATACAGATAATAGAAGATCTTTATTACAGGGTGTTTTCCTAGTTTTACTTTTTTAAATATTGGTTGAGGTATAGCTCAGTGATAAAGCACTTACCTAACATGCATGAGGCTTTGGGTTTGATTGCTAACAGACAAAGAAAGAGATGGAAGAAGGGGGAAGAGGAGAGGGAAAGAGAGATTTTTGATCGTTATTTTATTGTGCGTTTGTGTGCGTGTGGGCACAGGCCCTGCGCACATGTTGCATGTGGCAGCAGGAGGTCAGCCCTCAGGTGCTTTTCCTCAGGAGCCATCACCTTGTGTTTTGCTATAACATCTCTCCCTGGGCCAGCAAGCCCCAGGGATATTCCTGCTGCATCTTTCCAGAACAGCATTGGGACGGCAAATGCCAAGGTTCTTTTCTGTGGGTTCCAGGAGTCAAACTCAGCACTTTCCAGATCGTGCCATCTCCCAAGTTCCTGGTTAATGCTTTCTCAGAGAAGGCCATGTTCCTTCCTATCGCAGATTTAGCTTCCTAAAGTATCTTGAATAATGACAACAGAGCCAAAAATTCTGAAATACTTTTTTTCTTCCCCTGACTTCTATGTAGACTTAGTCACTACCAGTCTTTAAAGGAATAAAAATCTTAAAATACTATTTATAGTTGGTTCACCTTTTTTATGGGTTTCACACTCAAGGAGTCAACCAATTATAGAATAAAGAATAACAACAACAACAAAACCCAGTATTGAATATGTATAGACTTTCTTTATTTTCAGTCTTCCCTAACAATATAGCACAACCATTCACACTGTTATAATGCAAGTATATGTCATTCTTGTAGTGCATTCACCTAGTGAGACTCAGTGCAGTCTTTGGAGAGTATGTCCACATCCATAAACTCTCACCCAGATGGATGTTCTGTGCCATTCCTTGAAGCAGTGTCTTGAATCCAGTCTCCTGAGCATGGCACAGCCATTGCAGTCAGGAACTGTCAATAACTGCAGAGGAACGCTCTGGTTCTGCACAAAAACGAAGCTTCAGCAGCCAGCCTTGGGTGGAGGAAGGCCTCAGGAAGCCCTACTTCTTGATGGACCATTTGCTGCTGATATCTTCAAGGAGAGGAAGAACCATTGCCTTAGTGTGTACCTGCTGCTGTCTCCACCAGGCTTCAATGTGGTCCTAATTCAGTGGTCCCATACATGGCTCTGCTTAAACTAGATGGGTCACAAACTAAAAGGCATAAATCTAGGAAAGGAGAGAGGAAAAACTGATCAAAGTGAAAAGGGGATGAGAAAGGGCTGGGGAAAGTGAAAAGAGGATGAGAAAGCACAATCAGAATGTATTATTTACCTGTTGAAGCTGCCAAGGAACTCAATAAAGAAAAATCAGGGTGAATTCCTGGTGGACAAAAGTTGTCTGTGACATGTAGGGTACACCAAGGGGTTTGTGAGGTACGACATCCTTTCTTGACATGGAGGATTGTTCAGTGGCACATTTATGATGTATTCATTTCTAGAGAAACATGTTTCACAGTAAAAGGAGGAAAACCAGCCAAAAATAATGTTTTCTGACTTTCACCTAGCCTCTCTGTACCAACTCAACACAATTCTGTATATAACTCCTTACTTTGTATAAGGATTTGAGAAACTTACTGAGATAGAGTTTCTAAGTTTAGTCCTACTTTCCTGATACACTTGAACTGTCTGTTTCCAGTTGGTTCTTCTTGATTGTACGTCAGACGCAAAACGTCAGAGGCTCTATGTCTCTTTTTGATCACTCTGAAACACAATAATCTGATTTTCCAACTTGGCATTAACAGAAAGACTATGCCGGGTGGAGGTGGCTCATGCCTTTAATCCCAGCCTCGGGAGGCAGAGGCAGGCAGATATTTGTGAGTTTGAGGCCAGCCTGGTCTACAGACCAGAAGAGCCAACACTACACAGAGAAACTCTGCCTCACAGAGAGACAGAGACAGGGAGAAATACAGAGACAGAGAGAAGAGAAAAGAAAATCATAAAATTATAGCAAGATGCATGTGATTTTCTAGATGCTTCCTGCCAGGCCCCACAGGACTTGCGTCTTACAACACATTTTATATCTATTTTTACAAGTAAGGCCATGCAACAAGAGAATGGCTAAGAAACTTGCTCCGGTGATATAGTTCAAAATGGTGAAGGACTCCTTATGTGTTCTAACCATCAGGCTGAATTGCCTTACTTCACCCTCTTTAGAAGCAGACGGTGCAGACCCAGGACAGTGGACAGCCCCTTCTCCATTTCCACTGAAGACTGTTAGCTCTCCTTGGTCCAGAGAAGCCAGGATCCTACTTTCGAAGGGTTCTTAGGGCAAATCCGTTGGGAAGCAAAAAACAGTGAATCTGTATATAACCCCTTTCCTTTCTTCCAGTACCTGGGCATTGACTCAACAATTCCCGTTCCACACAGCAGGGGACGCTTCTTGGCAGCTTTTAAAAAGTCTTTGGTGTTGCTGAGGGGGCGTGTCCAACAGCACGAGAAGAAAAGGCAAAAAAAGTAAAATTTAAGACTCGACTAAGTAGTTTTAAAACTCCGCGAGACTCGGTAAACCGTGCAAGAGGTGGTAGAAAAACAACAACGAATTAGGTTTCACGGGTTCCTGCTAAAAGGCAACAGCATTTCTGTGGTTTTCCTGAACTGCCTGCAGTTCGTCCCAAATCCACCGCGGCTTCATTACTTTTTGTGGTGGTGTGCTCCTTCGGGTCCACATTTTCGGAATTCATAAGCCGTGCCTGCGGCCCTGCGTGGACTCCGGGAGTGTGGGTATCAGTTTACACGTGGCCTTCAGCTGTAACCCTCCAGAGGTCCACCCTCCTCCCCCGCCCACCCCCGGCTGGAGAAGCCCTCCCCCGGCTGGGAGACATCCTATTCTCAGGGCGGAGGACTCAGCGCCAGCACCGCGTCTTCTCCTCCGCCGCTTTGCTCTCTCGAAGAGCCATGCTTCGAGTGATTGTGGAATCTGCCACTAACATCCCTAGAACGAAATTTGGGAAACCGGATCCTATCGTTTCTGTCATTTTTAAGGGTAAGGCAACGTTTTCCTGTCTTTCCGAAGCCCTTTTCTGGAAGGCTGGAGGCTTGGGGCTCGTTCTTTTCAAGTCAGCACTTGGCATCTAGTGAAGCCAAGCCTCTCTCTGGTCCCTTGGCGGTCCTAGGTTTACCTGGGCAGGTCACAGGCGATCCCTACTGAGGGAATTTAACTTAGGGCTTGGGGACTGACGGTATGACCTGACATCTCTATAAACTCTTGGGGGAGACTCTGTTCGCTACTCTCTTGAGTTCAAGTATGAGGGTCTTTGTGGGTTCAAAGTTAGTGTCCATAGATGTGGGTGCTTTATAAAACTTTCTCTCCCTGTGAGAAATGAGTAACGGAGAAGAGCAAATCATTAATTGCTGGAGGCACCATTACAGTATTCACCACTTCGATGCTGCCTCTACTGTCACTGGAGTTTTGGGTAGGTTCTGAAGTTACTCTCTTTAGTGTTCTGCATCTCCACGACTTGGGGTGGGGTGGGGATGTGTTCGATAACTTTGGGGTTGCTCCCCGCGGGCCCCGGAAGGAGCTCTGACGCTCATCTGCAGCTTGGGAGTCTGGCTCTACAGGGCTGGGTAACCTTGGGCAAATGACTTCATCATTCCTCTATGTCCCTGCGTTCTTCTGCAAAACAGGGAGGAAGGTTTAGACCGCCTGGTCTTTAAAAGGCCCCTTGGAATTCCAAGCAGTTATTTATGACACTAGTTATGACTGCGGTGGAGGGGACCGGAGGAGGAGTACGGGTGGCTGCTGACATAGGATCCCCCCCTCCTCCCAGGCGGGGCAATTTGAGTTGGAGAGCTGTGGCAATCCTGGGCATAGGGGCTTCATCGCTTTCCTCTTTGGCCACGGTCCTGATAAGACTGCCAGTTCACTTGCGGGTGTGTGTGTGTGTGTGTGTGTGTGTGTGTGTGTGTGTGTGTAGGGGCTGCTGAACTGGAGCTTAGACAGGCAGGCATTTCCTTACCACACCTAGGCACATTTCCCTCCAACCCCAGGAATTTGACTACCTTTCCCTCATAGGTTCTGTGTAGTTCACCCCTTTCTCCACTGTGTCCATTTCTTAAAATCCCCATTTCTCTTCTCAAATCTTTCCTTCCGAGGGTGAGCAAGAAAAGGAAAGACATGCTATTCAAAGCTGCTAAATGACTGTTCAGTTAGAAAGAGGAAAAAAAAAAGGAAGGAAAGAAGGAAGGAAGGAAAGAGGGAGAGAAAAAAGGAAGGAAAGAATGAAGGAAGGAAGAAAATAAAATTCAACATGGTTTACAGTTCTGACTTTGGATTATGAGGAGTCATATTGAATTAATTTGCATATAGTACTTTAAAAAATCTATCTTAAAGCAGTTATATAATACTCGCATGAAAAATCTGCATCTTTTATTCTTGGCATGTAAAAAGGTGCTAGGATTGAGAGGTCACATTTGAGGCAAATTGTACAGATTATGAAATAATCTGAAATTAACCCTTTAAAATCTAATTACTATCTAGGAAGAATATGTAGTAATTAACACTTTTAAGTAACTAAAAATATGTTGATAAATGAAAACACTCAATTGAAAGGGTGAAATGTCAGTTAAATTGGCAAATGTGGTCTAGCCAAGCAATCATGTTTCTGGTTTGCTTTGGTTGTACAGAGTAGAAAAGGCATTCATTCACTCATCTGACACAAGAAAGATCGTTGAACTCAGTGTTGGAACATTTGAACTCTAGGTAAGCATTTCTTTTTGGTGGGGTCTCCCCATCTTTTAGCCCTGAGGATCAAACCTAGGACCTTTCACACACTGCCACTGACCCATATCTGCCCCACATATCTGGACACTAGCCAGCATTGCCTAAATAACTGATAACCTTGGATAGCCCAGCTCTAGCCACCTGGGTCTCAGCTTCCTTAGCTGCAGCAGGATACTGTCTTTCTAGCTTTAAGATGCTGAAACTTTCTAGTATCAGACTTTGAACGTCTGCTCTTGGGGGGGGGGGTCTGGAAGCCACTGTTTTAGGAGGTATGGGAAAGGCAGTCTTGGATATGAGTTCTTTTCTTGCCTTCCCTCTTTCCCAGCAGTCCGGTAACCCTGGTGCTAGCCAATTGTTCCAGTTATGTGCCCGGTTTTGAGCACTGTGTAAAATTAGGTCGGATGAAGAGCTGATAGAAGGAAGGATCTTATGCCGTGGTATCACTGTTCCATAAGTGAGCAAGAGCAGGAAACAGTTCTGCCCACCTCCTGAGATGGTGGGAAGCATGGCTGGCTAAGAGAAGGACTCGGAGGTGAGGGTGCTCTCATGGATCCTGGAAGGATCTTTCCACCAGCTTCCCATCTCTGTGACAAGGACTAAGATAATCACCAGAAGAAAGAGCATTACTTTTGACTCAGAGCTTTGGAGGCTCAGTCCATAACTGAGCAGAGCTATTGCTTTTCAGCCTCTAAGGGAGGACTGGGGCAGGGGAGTACTTCCTAGCAGGAGTGTGTGGCAGAGCAATCCTGTTCACATCATGGCCAGAAAAAGAGGGAAAAGAAGAGGTAAGGGTCTTGAAACCCCTTCAAAGGCACACCCCAATGATCTAAATCCTCCTACAAGTTCTCAGCTCTTAAAGGTCTTACCACCTACTTACCATAGGCTGGAGAATAAACCCTTCACTGCTGGAACTTTGAGGACCACATCTCTGAACCCCAGTGGAGGCCTCTAGCCTGGAACTCCATTGCAACTGGAAGCAAGCAGACTAGTCACCAACTGGCTTGGAGCTGACCTCAGGCCTCTCTGTAGCCTTTGGCTGACTGTGTGACTTTGGCTCCAGGCCTCATGTGAACCAGGAAAGGCTGGGTGCATTTCTGCTGTTGAAATGTGGGTGTTCAGGAGTGGATTAAGAAGGCATCAGAGTGTACGCCATTCTTTTTTCCTTCTCAGGTTCCAGGAATCAGTTCTGCATTTTAAGCCAGCCTACCTGGTAGCCATCCGCCTCAAGCTCCTTGCAGAAAGCCAGGGTGTAGAGCTGGGTTTGGCAGGAATGAGACCTCTAAACTCTGAGACAAACATTTAGAGATTTTAAGTACGGGACGATGAGAGGTTCAGTGGTTAGAAGACGCTACCAAACCTGATGGCCTGAGTCCCGTCCCTGACACCCATGTGGAGAGAAGGAATATGCTTCTGCAACTTGTCCCCTGACCTTCCCGCCCCCACATTCTCACATGCACACATACACACACACTCACACAATACAAAAATTTAATTTTAGTTCCTTTTAATTAATATTGGATATAGGAGAGAAGTTATTGTAAAGTCAAACCAGAGTAAGAGAAGGTGGAGGAGAGGAACCTGTTTTGTATGCTTTTTCTCTGGTGTGCATTTCCTTGAGGGATGTCTATGCCGCTGCCCAGATGTCCACCGGGTGATTGTTGTGTTAGTATGTAGTTTTGGGGTTTTGACCTTCTTCTTATTTCCCTTGAACATGTTTTAGCATGTAAGCCTAGACTTTTTAGTGCCTCTACCAATTAGCACACCCAACTTTGAAATCTTTGTTTTGTTTGTGTTTTTTTATTGTTGTTGTATGCGTACACATGTGGTCAGGACAACTAGTGGGAAGCATTTCTCTCCTTCGGTCATGTGGGCCCTAGGCTTGGTGGTGAACACCTTTACCCTCTGAGCCATCTCAGTGGCCCCACTTGCCTGTTTCTTCAGCAAGAACCGCTTTGTTATTTGAAATGACTCCTTGAGTCTTTATTGTAAAAACTTGCAAGTGAAAAAAATCACAGATCAAAATTCAGTCTATATATCGCAATGAACTTCATTGTTAGTTACAAATGGCCAATCAAATAATTTTATAATAACAATATAAATAAATAAATACAGTGATGAAACAAAATCAATTATCAAATACATAAAAAGAAATTAGCATCTCCTGTCTCTTCTGTAAAAGAGTTGGAATTATAGAATCACCGTGTCCAGTTTTCTGTAGGCTTTGGAGATTTGAACTCAGGTCCTTGCCCTTGCTCAGCAAGCACTTTACCCACTGAGCCATGTCCCCACTGTCCAGAGATAAATTTTAAAAGAATCTTTTAGATAAGCTTTAAAACGAAACTGTGAGATTCCTCTAGGAGTGGTGGAATATGATGGGAGAAGGCTCTCATGAGGCTCATTCATTATAATCTGTGGAGGTGAGCTGCTCACATAGAACCTTGATCCACTATGGTGTGTTACAGAGTCTAGAAGATTCTTCAGGGGTAATGATGGTCATGGAACGTGGGTACCTCAGTAGAACCGCGGTACTGTATTGACAGGTACTCAGGAAGGCAAGACTGTTTAATCTACTGAGTCATTCTCCTCGCTTCCGGAAGAAAAGGGCTTGGACGCTCACTGTTGAAGGGTGGTGGCCACACCCCGCTGAAGCATGGGGACTGCACATTTCCCAAAGGCACATTCTTCGGCTCGCAGTCATTTACAAAACCACAGTTGCTTTTAGAAAATAATTAGCATGTCCTGTTTTTCCTTCTCTCCTCCATTACATAGCCTACCCTGATGCCCTCAGCCAAGGGAACGAGCACTTTTCTGATTTCTTTTCTGCCTACTGGTTTCTCCCTGCCCCTGGGATTTCTAAGCCCTGTCCATGTGGTATAGTATGTTTGTGCCTTCTCCAACACCTGACACGTTGATGGATGTCGAATATGCCTTTTCTGTGTTGACCATTGAAAGTGAGGAGTTGGTAGGAGAATAGCGACATCTTGGAGTAATGAAGTCTTTGCTTGTTAATCCTGAAGGTGATTGGCCCATCTTCCTCCGTTCAGGAAGAATTTCACTTAAAAATTTTTCAAGTGCTCTGTGGGTGGATCTAGGTAAAAGAGCTCTGTCCCACACATTCCTGAACACTGAGCATAATCAGTTTGTAGCACCCGTTATCAGACAAATTGAAATGTTTGTGTTCTTATACCTGGAAAGAACTATGAGAAGCAGCTGCCTTTCATGCTGAAAATTTGTATGTGGAACATGCAGTGGCCTATGGAACAAATGCTACCTGGAACCCTCTGGTGGGACAACAGCCTCCTTACTGACTTCACAACTTCTGCTGAACAGCTGCTCTGTTGAACAGGGGTGTACTTTGAGCACAGTTGTCACTCAGAAATAGCTGTGGGACATCTGTCAACTTAAGCCTTCAATCAACTAACTTCTAGCTGGCCATTTCAGAGCAAAGGCCCTGGGCTGTAGAGCCAGCGATGCCTGAATGAGAATCCTGTTTGCCCCTTCTTGTTTCCTAATCGCTTATGAGCAAACAGAATCTTCAGTTGCGGTGTTGTAAATAATTCTCAGGGTTGTTTACTTTCCACCTGGGAAGAAGAGACCTCAACTGAGGAGTCGCCTGCATCAGACTGGCCTTAGGCAAGGCTGTGGGGGCATTTTCTTGATTAATGATTGATGTGGGAGGGTCTGGTCCACTGTGGGTGGTGCCATCCCAGGGCAGGTGGTCCTGAGTTGTATTAGAAAGCCAACCAAGGACGGAGAGCAAGTCTGTCATTAGCATTCCTTCCTGGCCTCTGCTTCTGTTCCGATCTCCAGGTTCCAGCCTTGGCTTCCCTTTATGATCATTTGTGATCGGAACCTGTAAACCGGATACACTCTTTCCTCTCCTCAGTTGCCTTTGGTCGTGATGTTTTATCAGGACAACAGGAACGCAAAGCAAGATAACCTCCTATTTTGCAGGGTTACTTGTGGATCAGGTGGAAATGCAGAAGGTCTTGCACATCTAAAATTTTCTCACCAGTTTGATAAGTTGCTTTTCTGAAGTCCTACAGCACACTAGTGTCAGCATCCAAGGTGAAAAAGATACTGAACATGTTCTAGTCTTCTAGGCATAGGACATTAGAATGAGATACAAACTAGTATCTTATTGGAAGAATAGAAAAGTTGCAACTTATCAGTACACAGAGATCAGATTTTGTGGCGTATGCCTGTAATCCCAGACCTGAGAAATAGATGCAAGAGGATTACAGCAACTTGAAGGCCAGCCTGGTCTACCTAACCATTCTAGACCAAGCGTATATAGGGAGACCTTGTCTCAAAAAGCAAACCAAGCAAGCAAACAAGCAAAAAGAGTAAATAGAACAGGAAGATTTGAGAAGAAGGTGCTGACATTTACTTTGGTTTTAAAGGACAAGTGGAAGTTAGAACATGGTTTACATGAGGGTCCGGTCATCTTATCACCTGGGATGCTGAAACAGGAGGATCACAAGTTTAAAACTTGACTGGGCTGCATAGTGAGATCCTGTGAAAGAAAAAAAAATGGAAGGGAGGGAAGACGGGAAGGAAGAAGAATACAATCCAGGCTTTGCAACAATCACAAAGGACAGTGGAATTGTGGGTTTGTGTGGAGAGATTAAGAAGAGTAGTCTGGTTAGGGAACTGTGATTCACTGCTACCTGCTGGGAAGCCTGTCCATGGAAGGCATCAGCAGTAGTCTGGGTGGTTGCTTACGTTTAGGCCAGAGGCAGCTCCTTCAGGGCTGCTGCATTAGAAGGGAGGAGCTCATGGAAGACACTAAGGAGGCAGCCTGATTGATCCAAATTAGTGAGGAAACCACACCTAGCAGGCTAGTGGGACCATCCTTCTTGCACTTCACTATGAAAGAGAACACAAGGCTGGCCTGTGTCCCGTTGGGTGTTTCCTCTGTGGATGAGCACAGGCTAGGTGGGGTGGCTCTATAACAGACTATCATGAGGGAGGCAACCAGAGACCACAGTGCAGAATGTGAAAGTGATAATTAGAAACCAACAGCTGGCATCCCAAAGGTCAAATGGGTCCTCTCTTTGCACCCCTGTCCAACCTGGAAGGGTAAGGAGTCATTCTGCTGAGAGCAGAAGCCCATTCAAGCTCATGCAAGGAAACCATGGAGGTTTCTAAAGCTACAGGGGAATCTTACAGAGTACAGGAGCACCACAGGAGCCAGACTCGCGTCAGGCAAGGACCATTTGCATTGGTCTCTCTCTCTCTTTCCCTCCCTCCCCTTGTCCCTCCCTCTCTCCTTCCCCTCTCCCCCTAACTGAGACATCAAGAGAGTGACCCCAGTTGGTTCAGTTGTTGTCACATTGGTTCACCCCAATTGAATATGGCCAAAGAGTGCAGCAGCTCAGGACATACAAACAGGTATACCAGATGTATCTACTGCAGCGCGAGACCTGAAGATCTAGAACTTGAACCACTTGGCTTATCTCCTTTCAGTTCAGGGAATTGGAGTTGTTTTCATTCAATCGCTTGACCCAGCCCACTATACAAAGAGTCCCTTCTTTCTATGATCAACAAAGTATGTGGATAGGGATGGTCTTTGGACTAGGGAGGTTAAGTTTGGGCCCTGGTTTTATTACTAGCAGGTAAAAATCTTTGGGAAGCTATATTTCTAGCCTTCATTTCCTCATCTATAAAAAGTTGGGAATAATGTGCACCTCCTAAGGTGTTATAAGGAACAGTGGTAATGAAATATGTGAAGTACTTTCAAGTGTTCATACCCTCCCTTCTTGTAACCTCTCCTTCTCCCATCTCTGGGAGATGCACAGAGTCCTGGGGGACATTTCTCAGGGGGTAGTTCAGGCTTAGTTGCTCAGAATAAGTGGAACACCCTTTAGCTATGACTGCTTCAGAATCAAGCAGAGCCGAGGTCTGATTTATCAGTGAGCATGTGCCAGGGCCTCTCTTAGGCACAGTTCTTTGCTTTTCATTGTGTTGAAAGATATAACATTTGTTATTTCAACATTTTAAAGTACGTTGTTCTGTTATGAAATATTCACAAGGTTGCTCTGACCTTTAGGCTACAGTGAATACTGCATCTATGAAGAGTGGTATGTAAATATGGGCCTAGGTGCACTTTTTTGGGGTGTGAACTCAGAATTGAAATTACTGGATCCTACCATCATTTTATTTCTAACTTTCTGCTGTGTTCCACAGCAGCTGCTCTGCCAGCATTGCATGGTGATTCCAATTTCTCAGCTTCCTTGACAATACTTTTTCTGTTTTTTTATAACGGCTGCCTCAATGAATGGACCGTGTAGGTTCATAGCACCCCCCCCCCCCCCATTGAGTGAACTTTCAGCTCACTTGCCCCGTTAGCACAGGGCAGTGGCTTCAGTGTAACTGACTCCTGAGGCGACCTGGCCAGAGTTGTGCTGGGAACCAAAGCAGAGCTGAAGGCACATGGGAAAAAGCCTTACTCCTCTATAATGATAGGCCTTTTTTGGAGGGGAGGGGGTCTGGGCTCCTCAGCTAGGGCTGAGTCAAAAGCTCACCCTGATCTTCCCACAAATGTCTGGAGATCAGATTATCCTTATATCGAGTGATCCTGAGCTTCTCTTCTCACCAGCTGTACTCCCTAGCAGCGCCTACCATCAGGCACATTCCACATTTGCTGTGTTGTTGTCTTTCTATCTGCCCCCTACCCTTGACAGTTCATTTTGTGAACACAGGGCCTGGGGCTGTTCTCTAACAACTAACTGTGTGCCTGGCCAACAGGTCATAAGCAATAAGTTTTCAATTAATAATCCTGTCTCTTCTCATTCATCTGGACCCCAGGGAGTCACAGACCACAGGGACCAATGGGACAAGGTCTCTGTCCTCACTACTACAAACCTGACTTGGAGTGTTTAGGACTTTGGAGGTTTTACAGGGTGATCGGGATCTACAAAGCCACATCTCAAAGAAAACCAAAGGGCAGGGTGCTCCAGACCACCCCTGACCTGGACCTAGAGCCTTTATTTGTTTTATCTTGAGACAGGCTTTTCCTGGCCTGGAACTCACTATGTAGAGCAGACTGGCCTTGAACTCACAGTGACCTAGCTGCCTGTCTCTGCTTCCTGAGTGCTGGGATTAAAGCCCTATGCCACCAAGCCTGGCTCTAGAGCTTTAATTGTAGTAGTCACAAGAGCCTCTTTTGAGTATCAGTTTCCCTAGCTGTTTCAAGATCTTTTTATAAAAACAAATCAAGATGCTGTGCTTAAGGTGTCTGGACATAAACAAATGTTTATCTTCAACTTCTTGAAGTCTGGCTATCTTTGCCCATTGCCAAGTGAAAAGCCAGTGAGCTCTGTTGGGGACTAAAGAGTCAAGAAGTTTGTGAGTCAAATGAGGACAACTGGCAGGAGCTAGAAGTTCTCCTTTAGAAGGCTAAGCTGAGTTCAGAGAGGGTTTTTACATTGTGTTAAAATGACCAGTCAGCTTGCTAAAATCAGAATAATCAGTTTTAAAAATGTCATTCAGCAGTCATTTTCTGTGCACCTACTGTGTGCTCTGTCATCTAGAGACCCGTTCTCTAGTGGAGCCTCCTATGATGTGGAAATAGTCAAGATCTGCCCTGTGTGATAGGAAACTATTAGCCATATGTGGCTGCCAATCACCAAAATGTGGCCACTGTGACCAAGGGATTGGCATTTTAATATTAACTGCACCTAATTTAAATGTATGTAACTGCATGTGGTCACTGATGGCCTATGGGATAGCACAGATCGCAGCAGATGGCCACAGTGGCTGAGAGTCCAGATCTCCCACTCCTTTATAGTGGCTAGCACCTCCAGTTCCCAGTGGCCTCATCTGTCAGACAGAAGGTGCAATAGTCACTAACCCACACAGCGCAGGTGGGAACATTCCCACTCAGGCAAGAGAGCAGAGGGCAGTGAGTGTTGACTACTTTTGTTTCGTTTTTTAAATTAATTAATTCAATTTACATATAGGTCATAGGTCCCTCCCTCCTCGCTTCCCAGTTCCAGCCTCCCTCCTGAATCCTAACTTCCTTAGAATAGGGGAGCCCCCCCTACCAAGACTCCCCAGCTCATCTATTCACATGAGGATTGGGTTGGTCTTCCTCCCCTGTGGCCTGGGAGGGCAGTGTTGACTGACCCTCCTGGAGGCTTGGATGGCCAGCTTGAGGAGTCATCTCCCGTGACTCTCCCGCCCCTCACTCAGTGCGCACACTGCACCTCCACTCCGTGTGTTACTGAATCTTCGTTGTTTTCTTAGGGAAGCCCTCTTTCATTTCCATGTTCCATGCAGAGGTAGGGCTGGGTTTAACTGGACTCCAGATTGTCCCTGGGCTCTGGTGGAGCTCAGTGATAAAAAGAATTCTACACATAGCTGGGCCAAGACACCGAGGGGCCTGAATACTTTGGTGGCCCCTTCTAGAAGCACTGAATTGTTCAGTATGCTGGGGTCATTCGATTCTAGTCAGAAAGCAGGAGAAAGTTTACCAATAACAAAAGAGAGAGAGAGAGTGGGAACAAAACCTAACCCTCCTGGCTGAGCTTTGCCACAGGGTAATGCAAACATTTATGACAGGCAGTGACTCAGAGGCCCAGAGGTGACATAGCTTAGCAGTGAACAGTTCCACTGGTAATCAAGATCAGACTATTTTATTAGCAGGAAATAAAGGCCTAACCTATTATACACAATGCATTTTTTTTTTTAATCTCATATTTAACTGGCAGGGAGAGGCCTCATTTCATTTCATTGCGGATTTCTGTTTTTTTGTTTTGTTTTGTTTTTTCCTACGCCATCTTTTTTTTTCATCCCAGTAGTACTGCAGTAGTAAACAGTTCTGCTATCTTTCTTTTAATAAACAATGTAGAAAGTTATGTTTCTGCTCACTCCCTGGACCCTCCCTGTCTCTCCCTCCTTCTGATAGCTTCTGCTTGGGCCTTACAAACGTGAATTATTCTGGGTGGAGGCTATCAGGTCAGGCATCACCTCTTTGGACAGTGGGCAGAGAGCTAGTCTTGGAGCTTGCCCATAGGCAGCCTAGGTGCTGTGCTGTAGGAAGAACAAACTGTAGTGACTCCAGTGTTTTAAGACTAGAAGGTTATCCTCATCTGAATGTCATACTGTGACAAGAACCTGACAGCTGTTAGGGCTGGGTAGCAGTTTTGCTTCTATTAGCTTTATTTTAACTAATTTTAATCACAGAAAATATATAAAGTCTTTTTTTTTGGGGGGGGGGGCGTTCAAGACAAGGTTTCTTGGTATAGCCCTGGCTGTCTGGTAAACCAGGCTGGCCTTAGACTCATAGAAATCCACCTTCTTCTGCCTTTCAAGTGCTGGGATTAAGAGTCTGAGCTACTACCACCACTCGACTACAAAGCCTTTCTTAAAGGTAAAGGTGTATGTGTGTGTGTTGTATGCGTGTTTGTAAGCATGTATAGGCAGATAGATGTGTTTACATGAGTGTGTGGAGGCCAAAGAAGGATGCTGAGCCTAGGCTGGAAGCCATCGAGCCTTTTCTGTCTTCCCATCTTCTAAGCCCTATTGCTAGGATTACAGCGCATGCAGCCACATCCATTTTGACCAGCTCCAAACTCAAGTCCTCATGCTTGCTCAGCAAGTGCTCTTACCCACGAAGCCTTCTCTTCAGCCCAGAAGTGAAATGTTTCACATCTGGAGAAACTGTTCTGGGTAGAGTGGGTTAAGTATCTAGGTGAAAGTGTCAGCGGTTGTAGACAGAGCTGGGACCCTACCATTACGCTACCCTTTGCTGAGGCTATTACACTGTTGTTTCTTATGCAGAGCTGAGTGTTATCTCAGCCATGTCTGTCCACGGCTGATGCTCTCCTACCCACGGCTCTTTTAGCACTCCATTTCTTCCAAAGGAGTACCATAATACACAGTGCTTTTTTGTTGTTGTTTAGCAGAGTCTCACTATGCAACCCTAGATGTCCTGGAACTCATTATCTAAACCAGGTTGGCTCCATAACACACAGCGATCCTCCCAAGTTTCTGGGGTCAAAAGCATGAACCATCATGCCTGGCTCCAGTCTCCTTTTCTACCATTGCATTTCCTTGGGAAATTCCACCCTTGGGCTTCTCACCCTACCAGGGTCAGGATTAGATTCTGGTGCCTTTGGTCTGGACACTTCTGACCTCCAAAGCATTTCCTGAAACCGCCAATACTCTCTATATGAGTGGCATGCCTTGGAGAAGAAGCCCTTCCCCAAAACACTTATGCATCCAAAGTCATTTCATGGCTTGATCTCATCTGTTGTTCACAGCCCCCACGAGCTGCCACAGGCATATTTCTCTCTGTTCTGTAGTTGAGGATGTGCACCTCAGCCAGACAGAGGGAGAGCAAATCTCTGTAGGCAGGAAGAAGCAGAGAAGAAACAGAACCAGACTTGCATGTGGGGTCATGTCGTGACCTTCCCCTCAGCTCAGTGCACAGACGGTTCTCTTTGTGCACTGGATTGCTCTCTCACTTTGATTCTACCTTCGGGTCCTTCCTAGGCTCTGCTGACAATGAGCAGCCCGCTTCCACTGCGGACGCGGACTCGGACTCCCTTGCCCTTCCTCTGATCTGCAGCCAACAACCAGCCAGCTTATTCAGGAGCTAGAGGCCAGAGCAAACTGCAGCATAGGAAGGAGGGCTGAGAATGTATTAAAACTCTTGGCAAAGATGATACCCTCCTTAAAGAGATAAGATTAATTGCGGGATAAGAGAGAGCCTATTGTGGAACACCAGGTCTGAGGCTTGGGTAAATTCAAGCATTTTATTTCCCCTCTCTCCCTGAGTAACAGGATCTGATTATCATAATTTCTGCCCTGGTTTTCTTTTGCTTTCAAAATTCTCTTCCATGGTTATTCAACTTCCCCTTGAGACAATGTCTTGGGTAGGGACAAGCCGATTGGAACAGTTAATAATTCTGATTCACAGGAACCTCCCTTGATCTTAGGCCCATTTTTGTTCTTTCATTTGCTCTTTGCTGCCTCCATGCCTGGTGGGCTTTCGAATTCCCCCTTTTACAGAGGCTCTGAGGCTCCTTAAGGGTCATGTCCTCACCTGGGCTGGATGTGAGTTTGCTGAGGACCA